AATTATCCCCAATAGTCACAAATAAATATCTCATAAACCCTACCCATTTTTCTTACGTTTAGATTTCTAAGCACCGTATTCGATTAAGGCTAGGGTCAAACCCTATTCCAAGCTGTACGCATGCTTCTGTAGTTTTGGGACATTGCCTTCCTAAACCTATTCTTTTAACGTTGCAGGCCAAAACATATGCATGAACCTTCTTTGTTTGAGGTTTTGCGCCGGACGCTGAGGTCTAATAATTCTAGATTCCTAAACCACGCACCTGGGCACGACGAGGTTGCGGGAGAGGGGGGGAGGGGCGCGAGCCTTATGGCTGAAGCTTGTTCGTTTAATGTTTAAGCCTAACCCTATTCCTAAACCTTATTCGTCCAAGGGTTAGGACCAAAGCATATTCGTTTCGCTTCAGCAATCGAGCGCCTGGGAGATTTCAGAGTGAAAAAAAACGCTTCCCTTGGACAAAACATCAGGGGAATGGGAATCGAAGCGGCAAAAAACTCAAGGGGCTTCTTCAAAATCGAGGGGAAAAAGAGGATGTCCAAGAATTTCAAGGGAATCAGGCCGAAACTCAAGAGACTCCAGCCGAGTTTGAGGGTATTTTTTCCTTTTCTTCAGGAGAAACAACTCGGAGGATATTTTTCATGCGAAGATTGTTGATACTTAACGAAAATGCCACAGAGGCCACTTAAGATTTGAAAAGGCCCCTTGCATTCTTTTAAAACCCTTGAAAATTGCAAAGAAACAAATATTCTGGGAATTTAGGAATTTAAGGAATTCAAGGAATTTCAGAAGTTCTAATTCGTCTGGGTTTCCGGCCCGCTGGAGTTAGGAAATTAGGAATTTAGGAGTTTTGGCCTTCAGCCGAAATTCCAAAATTCATAAAATCCTAAATCCCGGGAAGTAGGAATTTAGGAATTCAGGAGTTTTGGCCTGAAGCCGAAATACCTAAATTCCTAAATTGCCAATTCCAGCGGGCCGGAAACCCAGAGGAATTAGAACTTCTGAAAATCCTTGAATTCCTGAAATTCCTAAATTCCTAATTCCAGGGAATTAGGAATTTAGGAATTTAGGAATTTCGGTTACAGGCCCAAAACTCCTAAATTCCTAAATTCCTAATTCCAGCGGGGCGGAAACCCAGAGGAATTAAAACTTCTGAAATTCCTTGAATTCCTTAAATTCCTAAATTCCTAATTCCCGGGAATTAGGAATTTAGGAATTTAGGAATTTCGGCTGAAGGCTAAAATTCCTAAATTCCTAAATCCCTAATTTCCGGGAATTGGGAATGTAGGAATTTAAGGAATTCAAGGAATTTCCGAAGTTCTAATTCCTCTGGGTTTCCGGCCCGCTGGAATTAGTAATTTAGGAATTTAGGAATTTCAGCTACAGCCCAAAACTCTTAATTTCTAAATTCCTAATTCCCGGGAAGGAATTTCGGCTACAGGCCAGAACTCCTAAATTCCTAATTCCAGCGGGCCGGAAACCCAGAGGAATTAGAACTTCTGAAATTCCTTGAATTCCTTAAATTCCTAAATTCCTAATTCCCGGAAATTAGGAATTTATGTATTTAGGAATTTCGGCTACAGGCCGAAAATCCTAAATTACTAAATTCCTAATTCCAGCGGGCCGGAAACCCAGAAGAATTAGAACTTCTGAAATTCCTTGAATTCCTTAAATTCCTAAATTCCTAATTCCCGGGAATTAGGAATTTAGGAATTTCGGCTCAAGGCCAAAACTCCTATATTCCTAATTCCAGCGGGCCGGAAACCCAGAAGAATTAGAACTTCTGAAATTCCTTGAATTCCTTAAATTTCTAAATTCCTAATTCCCGGGAATTAGGAATTTAAGAATTTAGGAATTTCGGCTGAAGGCTAAAATTCCTAAATTCCAAAATTCCTAATTTCCGGGAATTAGGAATTTTGGAATTTAAGGAATTCAAGGAATTTCAGAAGTTCTAATTCCTCTGGGTTTCCGGCCCGCTGGAAATAGCAATTTAGGAATTTAGGAATTTCAGCTACAGCCCAAAACTCTTAAATTTCTAAATTCCTAATTCCCGGGAGTTAGGAATTTAGGAATTTCGGCTACAGCCCAAAACTCCTAAATTCCTAAATTCCTAATTCCAGCGGGCCGGAAACCCAGAAGAATTAGAACTTCTGAAATTTCTTGAATTCCTTACATTCCTAAATTCCTAATTCCCGGGAATTAAGAATTTAGGAATTTCGGCTCAAGGCCAAAACTCCTAAATTCCTAAATTGCTAATTCCCGGGAATTAAGAATTTAGAAATTTAAGGAATTCAAGGAATTTCAGAAGTTCTAATTCCTTTGGGTTTCCGGCCCGCTGGAATTAGGAATTTAGGAATTTAGGAGTTTTGGCCTGTAGCCGAAATTCCTAAATTCCTAAATTCCTAATTCCTGGGAATTAGGAATTTAGGAATTTAAGGAATTCAAGGAATTTTAGAAGTTCTAATTCCTCTGGGTTTCCGGCCCGATGGAATTAAGAATTTAGGAATTTATGATTTTCGGCCTTTAGCCTCCTAAATTCCTAAATGCCTAATTTCCGGGAATTAGGAATTTAGGAATTTAAGGAATTCAAGGAATTTCAGAAGTTCTAATTTCTCTGGGTTTCTGGCCCGCTTTCCCTAAATTCTTAAATTCCTAATTCCCGGGAATTAGGAATTTAGGGATTTAGGAATTTCGGCTCAAGGCCAAAACTCCTAAATTCCTAAATTCCCAATTTACGGGAATTAGGAATTTAGGAATTTAAGGAATTCAAGGAATTTCAGAAGTTCTAATTCCTCTGGGTTTCTGGCATTAAGAATTTAGGAATTTAAGAATTTCGGCTACAGGCCAAAACTCCTAAATTCCTAAATTCCTAATTCCCGGAGATTAGGAATTTAGGAATTTAGGAATTTCGGCTACAGGCCCAAAACTCCTAAATTCCTAAATTCCTAATTCCAGGGGGCCGGAAACCCAGAGGAATTAGAACTTCTGAAATTCCTTGAATTCCTTAAATTCCTAAATTCCTAATTCCGGGAATTAGGAATTTAGAAATTTAAGGAATTCAAGGAATTTCAGAAGTTCTAATTCCTCTGGGTTTCTGGCCCGCTGGAATTAGGAATTGAGGAATTTAGGAGTTTTTGCCTTAAGCCGAAATTCCTAAATTCCTAATTCCCGGGAATTAGGAATTGAGGAATTTAGGAATTCAGGCCTTAAGCCGAAACTCCTAAATTCCTCAATTCCTAATTCCGGGGAATCAGGAATTTAGGAATTTAGGAATTCGGGCCTTAAGCCGAAACTCCTAAATTCATTAATTCCTAATTTCAAGGAATTAGGAAGTTAGGAGTTTCGGCTTAAGGCCTGAATTTGTTAAATTTCTAATTCTTTATATTGGAGTAAGGAGGCAAGAACAAAGGTCAAATGATACGTAAAGGTTCCTCTTACATATATATATATATATACATTTTACTTGTTGCTACATGGAGATAATGCCTACCTATGCTGGTCTGTCTGGGCATGGGGCTGTAGGCTTTCTTTCGGAAGGCTTGAAGGCTCAGAGCATTCATTTTTTGATTCTCTGCCTGCTCCTCAGTCAAACACACTGCCATTTTCTCTGCGAAGGGTCTCTAGCTTACTCAAAAAGGAATCGCCGCAAGAAGCTCTTACCGAAAACCATTATCACCAGGGACTGCGCGGCGGGGGGGCCGGCTCTGGGTCTTACGGATGCATCAGCCAGGTGGTCAGGACACCCGCGACGAAGCAGCTGCCGAAGCAGATCCCCGCAGCAGGGATCCTCAGCTAAAGTGGAGAGGCAAGTGGGGGGTTTCGGAAAATAAGGGTACCCTTTTTGTCCCTTTTTAGGGGATTCGATTCGATTTGGGGTATGAAAGGGTACCCCTATTTTGGGAGATGCCCAAGTGAAGGTTTGGGGTTACGGGCTTCGCCTAAACTCTGCAGCTAAGCAAAGCTCGCAAGTTTTTCCATCCGGCGAAAAAAACATGCCCAGCTCACAAACTGTTGTCCAAGCGGCGTGTTCACATCCATCCATACGGTCCAGCAGGTGCCGTTGAAGATGGGCCTGGCCCGCTGTGAAATGCACCAGGATACCAGGCAGACAAAGAGAAACATGGACCCTTTGTCCCAAGAGTAGCAATCAGGGTTCATGGTTCAGGCTCCAATCCTTACATGAATAAGGAAGGGTATGTCTGGGCGTCCTAGGACAGGACATGCAGTGTTAAGTGCAGTACATGAAGACGAGAAGACTCAGGAAGAATCAGCCCCCCGACCCCGGTAACTTGTTGTTTCATAGGGTGTAAACGGGAAGCCAACCCTTTAAAAGGCAGGGACAACGGTGAAGAGAATGACTTGCAGACCCCAGAATGCAGCAATGATGCGGATTTCAGCTAAAGTCGGCTCTAAATACATGGCCCGTAAGAACACCCAGAAAGGGACTACAACCTTGGGAGCCTGCAGCGCAAGGAATCATCCAACGAGAGGCCCCGCTTTAGTCAGCAAGGATGACCAAGACTTGCATACTTGGTTGCTCTTAAAGAACTTAAATTATGTTACCATAGTGAAGATACGATCGCGTTTACGATGCGTGCTGGTAACTTTGTCCAGCATGGTCGTAGCAAGTCTGCGCGCTAGACTCGAGGCCTGTGGGATATTCAGCAGGAGCTTTGGCATCAGAGTCATCAGAACTCAAATTTTCCATTTCCACAACGATGCTAAACCCTGAAACCCTCAGCACGATGCCTGCGACCAGGAAAGCACTTACAGGAACCTTCGAAGACGAAAACAGATACCAGGTCCCCTCAAAATTCACAGCCCCGAAGGCCTAAACTATAACTTTCAGCAAGATGAGGCCCTGGTCACCAGCCTGCGAGCCCCAACAGCCCCAAACCACCCCTCAAAAACCCTAAACGCTAAACCCCCAAAACCCTGGCGCCTTGCCGCGGTATGCTTGCTGCCGCAAAACCACTGCTTGCCGGTATGCTCGGGGATATAGACTACGGGATGAAACCTGGGCTGCTATTTGCTTAAGAACCACCCAAGAATTCTTCATACAAGGGCAAGAGGAAGAAAAAAAGGCAATAGGGAGTTTCCGGGGCTTCGGTGACCTGAAACATCCGAAAATCCGACAGAAACAGGGCGAAGGGTGCCACTGGGCTAGCTGCAAGCTTAACTGCGGGCAATGCTTGGACAGGGGGGATTTGGCTCGGCTCTCTCCCTCTCCCTATCTATCTCTGACTCTCTGTCCATCGCTACTTGCTACCGCAGATGACGCTGCAACAAACGGGCTACGAGGATCCTCCCGCGTGTCGTGGCTCGCTCAGGGTACGGTGATCGGCTGTGCCAGCAACCCTAAAAGTAGATGTCCTTGAAGCCCGCGTGCTTTACAATCTCACACGGTCAACGCCGGCATCATCAACGAGGAACGAGGGTTGCTAATAGATCCAATGGTCCTAGCCAAAAAGGAGCCCTGAAACCCTGAAACCCTGAAACCCTGAAACCCTGAAACCCTGAAACCCTGAAACCCTGAAACCCTGAAACCCTGAAACCCTGAAACCCTAAACCCTAAACCCCCCAGTTCTTTCCAGGCAGCTTCGTGTCCTTGCAGCCGGCTTGATCACACCAGGGCTGGGAGATCGACTCGCCGCAGGAGCACCAGTAGTAAACAGTGTCCTTCTCCACCTGGCTAGGATCCCAAAACCCTCAGGTGGGTTTAGGGATTAGGGTTTAGGGTTTAGGGTTTCGGGTTTCGGGTTTCGGGTTTAGGGTTTCGGGTTTAGGGTTTAGGGTTTAGGGTTTGTAGAAATTGTATAGGGTTTGGGTCCCAATAACGTTTTGACCGAAACGTTTTGACCGGGTTTCGACCGGGTTACATTTCATTTTTGTTTTTAAGGTGCTGGAGCCTCCCGTTTTTTGAGGGGGGGGGGGGGGGGGGGCGAATGCCTTTTGAAATCTTCAGAATTGAGGAGCTTAAGGTCTGATCAAAGTCTTTCGAAACCTCCAGAACTCAAATTTTCAAGGTCTGGGAATTTCTTGCTTTCAAAACAGTTTTTTCGCTTTCAAGGCTTCCCGCTTTGGATTCATTTACTTTAAACTCTGCAATATCTTGGAAAATTCAGAATGATACCACGTACAATTTCTATTTATTTTGTCTTGAGGGTTTAGGGTTTAGGGGTTAGGGTTTAGGGTTTAGGGTTTAGGGTTTAGGGTTTAGGGTTTAGGGTTTAGGGTTTATTTTAGGGTTTAGGGTTTAGGGTTTAGGGTTTAGGGTTTAGGGTTTAGGGTTTAGGGTTTAGGGTTTAGGGTTTAGGGTTTAGGGTTTAGGGTTTAGGGTTTAGGGTTTGGGGGTTGCCAGGTTCTTCGGTGGGGGCCCGAACTTCGGGGTACCTTATTTGGGGTCCTTACCCTTAGGGAATCCTACTATTTGGGGGACTTTTTCGGTGTCTCATTGTCGTAAACCCCGGGGTCACCTTGGAGGGTCCTTGGGTCGGGCTCAAAAGGCGGTTTCTACGTCACAGTGATTCACTTCCGGAGCAAGCAGTGGCGCGCCATTGTAGCACTGGGGACCCTACCCTAAAGCCTGAAGTGGGGTTTCTGCACATACGTGGGGGGTGCCCTTTTTAAGGGCTCCTTTAAAAGAATTATAGTACTTTGGGTATATCACGGGTACCCTATCCTTTTTGGCACAGTCAAGTGAGAGCTGGAGCACAGAGCACGGAGAGCCACAAGACGACCCAAAAACCCAAAAACAAAGCTGCAGTATCACCAAACCCTAAACCCTAAAGCCTAAAGCTGTTGATGAGATGCATCCCCTGCTGACCTCCTGAAGAGTAGCCAGCATTGGTTCTCAGACAGCTCATATCGGGGCTCTTGGCGTTGATTTCTTAGGGTTCTCCCTCAACTCCCTTTATAGCTCATGGAAATGTAGTGTTTCTAGGGCCCCCAAACCCACTCAAGTTTGCTTTTCTAAAACAAAGAGGAAAAAGGGCGACTCGCAAAAACCCTAAGCCCTTAGACCACACTTCCCAAGACATTGCCCCCCAAAGCTTATACCCAAAACCCTGATAGCCTAAACTCTAAGCCCTTATACCCTATATGAACCCCAGGCCTGCCCTAAAACCCTAAACTTTGTAGGCTCCACCATCTCGATGTACGGGCCCAGCTTTGGCGAGTAAGGCACAGGCTCGTAGGGGAACCACCTGCCCCAGGCCGGCCGTTTCTACTACACCTGCCACTCTCCCAGAAACCTCAAGTCCCTGATTTCTTAGTAGGGAACTACAAAGCCCTGAAAGGATGTATAGGGGGATACCTCATTCGCTTATTCCCTACAAATGAACCGTGGCACGCTGCGGTGTCAGGGTTCAAGGTTTGGGGTACGAGGCTCTCCCTGGCTGTGTCGGGACTTCTTTACCACGGCCCAAGTCGCCCCGAATACTCAAAGCCCCAACCACTACCCTCACTAACCCCCTCAACCCCAAACCCCAACCACTAACTGCAAGCTGGCAGAGTCCTCGACCCCCCGCCTGTTCCAAAGTGAGGGAATCTTCGGCGCGCCATTCTTCTTGGAGACCTCGTAGCCTGCTGCTTCCCACTCATCAGGCCTTGCATCCCAACTACTGGCAGCGCGTTGTGGGGTCTTGCGTCTCGGGTTAGGGGCTAGGGTTTGGGGGTCTGGTGTCTTTTGGGTTGGGATCCGCTGCCTTAACGCAGTGCTGCGGCACCATGTGAAGTGCACTGTGCCAGACTCAATTTTGGAATGAGATAAGGCTGATGACTGATGAGTCGGAATCTTGGGGTCGTGTGCCAAGGTGGGTGCCGCGAACATCTTGAAACTGGCTTTAGTTGCCTCAGGCACTGGCGCCGTTCAGAACATGAAACCCCCCCCCCACCCGGAGCCCTTGCCATATTCTCCACCAAAGAGTCAAGGCCCTTCGACTCTAAGCCCGAAACCTTCGGGGAGGTCTTGTCCTCGTTCCTGGGATGCCTTATACGACAGACCACCGACCCTGAAGGTACCTAAGCCCGAGGCTTTCCACAGCCACACTAAAAACCCCCCAAACCCAAGACCCACCGAGGCCCCGGGCGTGGAGGGCATGAAGGCGCTGGTACGAACCGCGGCAGCTGTGGGAAGCCTGCGAGGAGGGCAGTGCGGCTGGACTCTTAGCCTTCGGGCGCTTGGGCTTTGGGGTTCTTTGGGCCGGTTAGGGTGCGCCGGCTTACCTGTAAGTTCGCTCGCCCGCACAAGACACAACGGTAGAACTTCGCATGTTTCGGTCATTTCGGGAGTGCTTCGTCTTTTCCAGCTTTACATGTTTGAAACCTTGGGAAGCACGCCCGAAAACCCTAAACCCGATTAAACGCCCTAAACCCGAAACCCTACACCACAAACCCGAAAAGCAAAAAGGTGTGGGTGCCTTGAGACAGCCAGCTGCATCCGGCCTTTGGTCACGGCCCTGGCGTTTTGAGGTGGAATAACAGCATCTGAACCCTTAAATCCTAAATCCTAAACCCTACCCGAACCCAGCTGAGGGTCCGGAACTCTCAGGCGAATTTGTGGGGTTTATGGTGTAGGGATGTGTAGGGTGTAATTAGGGTTTAGGGGTCAATTAGGGTAAGTCTAGTTTGGGGTTTAGGGGAGTTCCCTCAGAATCTGATGGCAGGTTCTAGAACACAAGCCCACAACCGAGACCCCTTAAGCCCGGCCCGCAAACCCTAAACCCCAAAAGGCCCCTACCCAAACCGCAAGCCCTACACCCTACAACAAAAGAAGAAAACAGAGCAGGTGTTGGGTACTCAAGGGTGTTCCCCAAACCCTAAACCCCAAACTTTTCAACCCTAGCAAGCAAAGGATGGTTTATCTTTGAGAATTTGGGCCATTTGGATTGACATCACGGGGTTGCAGAGGTTGAGGGGGCTGAAGATGTTGAGGGGTTCAAGGGGGTTTTGTGAGGGCGCTTAGGGGCGGTAGAAATTAACATGTCCCCCCGACCATGCCGACCATCAGGAAAAAGGAGCACCATCCAGAGCAGCCTATACCAGCCCCATGGAAGCGTGAATGCCACTGTCTGGGTTTAGGGTTTAGGCGTTTACTGTAGGGCTCCCTTTACCTGATCCGCTTCACTGAGGAGTCAGACCCCAGCCACGAAACCTAAACCCTAAACCCTACACCCTAAAAACTAAACCCTAAACCCTAAACCCTAGACCCTAGACCCTAGACCTTAAACCCTAAACCCTAAACTCCCTAAACCCTAAACCTAAGCCCTCAATGAAACCGGAAAGTCCTATTAGAAGCTTTTGGCGTCTAGGCCGCAAGGGCATGACTCAGCACCGCTTCAGAGTTTGGATCTCGGGTGGCTGCTGACGCAATGGTTGTGGATAGTTCCATATTTAGGCTTTAGGGTTTAGGGTTAAGGTTTAATGTTTATGGTTTAGCTAGTTAGGATTTAGGGTTTAGGGACCTGATCTGGGCCCGCCTCATGAGCGACATGGCTGAAGGCCTTTGCGAGGACGGAGGGACTCCGGCTTGTGTAGAAAGCAGGTGCCGCGATGGTACGAGACCACCCTGAGCCAAAACGGCCGTGGGGCCGCAGCGGTATGAGATCGGATGGTCTGGAATCCCCAAAATCCACAATCCTGAGACAGCCACTCCTTAGTGTGTATCCCAGGGACAGCTCCCCAAGAAACCCTCAATTCAAACCCTTAACTCTCATCCCCAAGCTGGGCATCTCCACCTTTCACCACGTACTCTGTCTTTGGCTGCTGGAAACGGGGCGGGTACTGCTTTGGTACCACACCTGAGGGTCGGCTGCTTCTGCCTTTTCACCCCTTGCCAGATCAACGTGGCACCAGTTTGGGGCTTGCCTCAAACCTTCACACCCTAAACTTTCATGTGTGGCGCCCCTCTTAAGCCCCTACCCCCCTTTTTTTGGGGTGACTGGCTTTTTTCGGCCCTTCACTGAAACCAATCACCTTACAGGCCGCACCATGATCTGCCTTCAGCGCCTCAAACAGGGCGATTCGGCCTTGAGAGCGGGCCGCCCCCTGTGCGCAAAGGGGGGCCCGCCGGGAAGAGGCCCAGCTGCCGGAGGGTGGTGAAGCTGCGGGGGACTTGAGGCCCGGAGAGAGCAAACACATGATCAATATAACCATCAGATGATAGAGTAGAACAATTATGTGATCGTAGAATGAAGTAAGAATGTACACACACACATTTCTGTTAATACTCTTGCTTTCTCTTCAGACGCCCTAACCCGCAGAAGTGGCCTTCAGAAGGCACTGGAGAGACTCAGAGCTCGTCAAAGTCGTCGAAGGCCTCCACTTCATGCTCGCGCCTGGACGCGCAAAGACAGAAACTGCCCTCCGTTGATGGCTCAGACTTCGGGGAGGCGTAGGATGGGTCATCTAGGGTGTTCACACGAAGAGTTCGAGCACGAAGGTGTTCGTTTTCTGGGAGACCTTTGGCGCCATCTCTGAGAGTGCAGATTGCCGAGAGGCCCGTGCGATTTGTACTACCTTATTGGGGTCCTGATTGTAAGGGAATATCCTACTATTTGGGGGGAGGGGGGGGACCTATTTTAGGGGTCCTCTATCTTCGGTAACCGCCATTTCTGCGTACTGAGAATGTGGGACTAAGGCAGTGTGGTTTAGGCGTGTGAGTTCAAGAAAGTCAGTGCCGCTTGGCGACTGCCGGAAAGGCATACCCCCACGTCTTCCATCAGCTAGGATACGATCCCTCTGGGCAGACGTGAATAGTACTACGTTGGGGTTTAGGCTTCAGTGGTTTCTGGGACGTTGAATCCGAAAGGTTGGGCTCTCAAACGCGTGTGGGTCTGATACAAGCCTAGCACTAGAAAGCAACTTGAAAGATTCAAGCTCGCACCTGAGGCAACTGGGGTCCAGACAGTCCGGCTTTCATTTCCGCCAGGCCGGAGATTTCCTGGCGTTTAGAGTTGCTCACTGTTGGTTTGCAGGGAACGAGGGAATTAAGGCCCTACATATTACCCTTTAAGGGATTATATAGGGTACCTCCTTCCCCCATTCCCTACTAACCAAGTGTAAGGTTGAGGGTTCACCCTCCCGTGGCCCAAGAGTGGGCTTACGGTTTAAGACTGAAGGCTGCGAGTCACGTGTCTTTCTTGCAGGGGCTCTCAACATTTTCTAAAGCGCTAATCCCTTAAGCCTTACCTCAAACACCGCGAACCGGTTCAGGGCTTACGGTGTTCTTGCCTCGTTGTCCTTTACAGCTCTGGAAGCTGTTGGCATTCCCAAAAGCCATAAACACCCGAGACCTGGTAAGGAGACATCCGGCAGGTTTTAGGGTTTAGGGTGCAGGGTGTAAAGTCTGGGGTTTAGGGTTTAGGGCTTAAAAAGTCCTAAGAATAACCCTAACACCCTGCGCAAGCCTCAAGGTCCCCAACCTCGAAACCCGAAAGGCGCCCCAGCCTCCCTGAACCCAAGCCCTAAACCCTAAACCCTAAACCCTAAACCCTAAACCCTAAACCCTAAACCCTAGACCCTAGACCCTAAACCCTAAACCCTAAACCCTAAAAAGGTCCTCCAAGATCGAGGAGTCCGCAATGACCTTCTCCAGGAAGGCCACCCCCTCGTCGGCATAGCGCTGCAGCACCTGCCAGGCAATTATTGGATTTAGGGTTTAGGGTTTAGGGTTTCGGGTCTCGGGTTTAGGGTTTGGGGTCTAGGGTTTAATTAGGGTTTAGGGTTTATGATTTAAAGTTTAGCGTTTACGGTTCTTTAGGTTTTCCCCGAATCCCCAAAACCCCATACCCGCAACCCCTCCCCCCGCCCCCCCCCAAAAAAAAAAAAAAACGGCGAGACACTCAAACCATCGCCAAGTCCGAAAAACACCGAAAAAACACTACAACTTAAAACCCTCAAGCCCATAGCCCCTTGAAACCCCAAAGCCCTCACAAGGAGCCTAGCTCGAACCCCATGAGGGTTCGGCGGTGGGGCTTTGGGTTTAAAGGGTTTAGGGCTTGGGGCCTTTTGGTGTTGTTTGGGCATTTACTCTCCAGGGATAGCTTTGGATTGTTTAGGATTGCAGGATGGTGTTTTGGACTTTTGGGTAGTTTAGGGGTTGTGGGCTTTAGTACAGGACGGCCTAGGGTAGCTTGGTGTCGGGGTGTGTCACAAGCGCGTGGCGTCGGATGCCGGGATTCGCGGCGCGACTTGCAGAAGCGCGGGCTTACACTCACCCCCCCCCTCCCCCACAAAACGCTAAACTTGGGATGTTCCCCCTAAGACTAGCAGTCCTTCATAGGATAATAACAGGGAGTACCATAATCCCGTTTTAGGACTGATAGCCCAACCCTAAACCCTAATCCAAACAAGTCCTAAACACCTTGGACCCGAAATCCGACAGAGCTCAACTTGAGCCCCACCCCTACAGCTGCGTGGAGTGTCTGCAGCTGCAACGAGCGCGTCCTGCCTGGGGAGAGCAGCAGATGCAGCGCGAGAAAGGCTCCGTCTCCACTGGAGACAAGGTATACCTGAGCTCCATGCCAGAGCAAGCAGGCAACGCCAAGCACTGCAAAAAAAGGCCTTGCGACCTAGTGCAACATCTTGTTTCATTGGCGTCCGAGCAGTGCCTTATGAAGCCCTAAACCCGAAACCCGAAACCCTAAACCCTAAACCCTAAACCCTAAACCCTAATCCTAAATCCTATCAAAATGGCGGCCCAGAGCAATCCCGGGCGCTCCGCTGCATAACCGCGAACCTGTGAGGTGGCGCAGAGGGACCACGTGCAACCACACTACGGGGGTTTCCCAACAAAAGGATGCCTCGTTTCTTCCTTTGATAAAGAACTTCGATTTTGGGGAATATGTTCAGAACACCCCCATTTTGGGAAAGACAGTACCCATTTAGGACGCCAGGTATGCCAGCGGCTAGCGACGCCTGGCATACCAAGTTCATGATGAACACACCGGTCATTGAGACAATGAGGATCTTCGAAGTCCTCTCAACGTGACCACGAAGCAGCGCCGATATGGCCATCGTTCGACATAAAGCGTCCCAAGAGGAGGTCTTCAAGTCGGGTGATGGACGGTCTTGGATTTTGTCCGGAGTTCTGTGATGTTCTGTGCGGGTTTCAACCCGCTTTTCTTTTCGATTCGTTCTGACAACGCCGCCATTCTTCCAGCGTGCTTGTTTGGCCATCCTCGAACACAACGCTGGAGTCTGTTCAAGGCCTTTCTTGGTGACTTCTGAAGCCTGTTTTGTGGGGCCTTTGCGTTGCCTTTCTGATAAACCTTTTGGGGTGCGCCTTCTTTGCTGCCTGTTGCCTCAGGGTTTAGGTTTTGGGGACCCAAAAGGTTTGCAGTAACCCGCCCGACAGTTTCAGTCGACCTAATAAACCGTCCGATAGCGTCAATCAACCCAAGCCCTTGCAACCCGGGAACCTGGATTTACTTAACGATGCCTAGTGCCCATCTCTGGAAAAATTCTCCCCCAAACAGCCCCCACCCCTGGAAAACAACTTGCAAACTTAAAGCCCCAGAGTCCTGCACCCCAAAAGCCCCGGAAAACCCAAAACTCCAAAGGCCCTAAACATCCCAAAACCTACAAAGGCCCCACTTCCTCAGCACCAACTCTCGGGATAAGCAGGGTAAGCTCCGGAGGCCCTTACCTCCGAGCCGCGAACTGGCCTCATGCCGAAGCCCAAACCCCAAGCCCCAAAAACAAGCCCTAACAACCCCAAACCCCTAGACCCGTGACCCTTGACCCCATAACCCGAGACCCATAACCCCAGACCCCTTAACCCCATACATCCCCGAACCCCTAAACCCTAAACCCTAAACCCTCAGCCCTAAACGCTCAGCCCTAAACCTAACAACCAAACAGCCGGCCTGATGCGGCACCCCGCCCAGGGGGGACCGGGTCAGGCTCTCGGTCCCCGTACAGCACGGAGCCGCGAAGCCCTCCTCCAAAGGCTGGAAGATGGGTCATATAGGTAGCGTTTAGGGTTTAGGGTTTAGGGTTTAGGGTTTAGGGTTTAGGGTTTAGGGTTTAGGGTTTAGGATATTAGGGGTACCTTCTTGGGGCCCTTAGTATAAGGAGATCCTACTATTATTAGAGGGTCTACATTAGGGATCCCTGATTTTCGTAAACCCCCATATAGGGCTCGGAAGATTTATTAATGGTATTCCCTTATGGTCGCGTCGCTATATAAGTATGCTATGGTAACCTCCAAGCCCGGGTCGAACTATTGAGGCCAATATTAGGTTGCGTTTGTCCTGGTTGGGGCATGGGGGATTTAGGTTGTGGGGTCTGAGGATTTGTGGTGATGGACAGAATTCAAACGAATCACAACATGGTTGATGCCTGAGAGTCTGCATAACCCGGTGCCGTAGCAGGCCGGTGAGCCTTCAGTGCTTGGTGCTTGCAGCTATCTGTCAATGCTGTTTAAGCTGCGCCTTCTGTGACCTGACTCAAAGCCCTCAAACAAGCAACATGCGCACGCTCTCAGACTTTATGAAAGAAACCTCCATACCATGACCCCTCATCCAAACAAGAGGTCCTGGCCGAAAGATTGCTTTCCCTCATTGTCCCATGGCAATGCCCAAACCCTAAACCCTAAACCCTAAACCCCAAACCCTAAACCCTAAACCCTAAACCCTAAACCCTGAAGGCGCCTCGTGCTGTGTGAGCGCTGCGAGAAGCTCCACAGCAACGCTGCTGGCAAGACCCGAGATGCCCGGGCGGGTCACCGTGCACTGCTGATCCAAGGTCCTGGCCGCCACTGCTGGTGGTCGGCTTTAGGGCAGAGAGTTGGGATGTTCCCCCCCCCTCGTACTAAGAGTCCTTAATGGGGAGTATAGCACCCCCCAGTACAATCCCTACTAAGGACTGTTACTTTAGGTGTGGGGGACTCTGGGAAGCTTGGGGTTTAGGAGTTTAGGCTAAGGGGCTATCAACCAAGATCCCCTGCTTTGAGTCCCCTACTTTACCTTGTTAGAATGCGGCCTCACATAGTCCGGGGACCCAAAAAGGGGACAGGGGGGGGGGGGAAGTTTAGGGTATTTGGGGTTTCGGGATGCAGCGCAGGCTCATTGTACTGCAAACAATTTGTTGTTGTCGCATCTCTCTGTGAATTAGTCTGTGGACTTTTGTTCGCTAGTTCTTGTCAAGGAAGCCCGAGCCCAAAAAGGACAAAGACGGTACCCCTGAGCGTCGCAGTGTGGCTGCCATGGCCAAGCCCCAAAACCCATTAACCCCCCAAAAAACCCAGAGCCCTCAAACCCAGTCCTGAATGCCAGGGAGTCCTGGGCACAGGCCGGCGGGAACAACAGTGTTGCTCTGTGAGGGCTTAGGGGCTGCTTATGACAGCGGCCCCTCTTACTTAGCGTGCCCAAAAACGGACCATAATTTAGAGAACTGGTCATATGTTGGGCTCGTAGGGGTTTAGGTTTGCTCGAAGGCCATATGGTGTTTCGGGGGTTGCGGGCTTACAGACTGGAGCTGGCACCGGTCTACAGCAGCTGGCCTCACTCTTGTGCACCCTAAAACCCTATAGACTATCAAACCCTAAACCCCTGAGACCTTGCCCGAAACCCTGCGCCCCTGAACCCTAAGCCCTATATCCTACCTTCGGATTCAGAGTATCAGGTTTTCTCGACCCGCGAGCCCTGGGACCTAGGTAGTTCTGGCCCTGATCAAAAGAAGTGTTGATCCGAGGCTCCGCCGGGGCGGTGACATCATTGCAGAAGTAGCACGCAGCCACGGAATCTTTGTAGGTTTGCCTGGTGGCGTCTGACTCAACCCTGAAACCTTGCAAGCCCGAACCGACCCCGAGAACTGCAAGGAAGTATGCGATTTTGCCCTCTTGCCTGCCTGCATGAGTCCGAGCAATGTGTCTTTACAAGTGCTTGCGTTGAGATGTTGAAGTACGTCAAGGTGGATGTGCAGACACTTCGCTCATTTCGGGCTTGTTCGGGCAGTGGACAGCGTGCTATTTCATGTTGCATGCTGATAAGGAAAGGGGCCCCCCTCCCCCGCCCCCCCTCAACCGATGGGTATCCGACTAGTGTGGGGGGACGGGGGGTTTGATGCGGTTCAATTTTAAGATGACAAAAAAACCTTAACACGATTCCGGGGGATCACGACAATCTGGTCCCGCCCAATAATCGCAGAAAAAACTGAACTACAAGTCCAGGGATCAGACTAACCAGCATTTAACACTCTCATGCAAGCACCTGTCTTTCGGCCCCATCAAGACAGCACAACTCATCGACGTGCGCGACACGGGGAAGCAGTCACAAACTGGACCAGTTGCCCTCAAATTGGGCACGCTTTGGCGATGCTGGCCTGGAGACCAGGAAGGAATCGAACCCCAGCGCCACAGTCAGCCCGAGGGGAGGAGAGTCTTTCTCCTGAAGCGACCATGTTAAGGCTTGGTCTCGGGTACGAAGCAGATGAACAGCAGGGAGGGGGTCCTCCCTCTTTGCAATGACCTTCAATCTCTATGACAAGGCAGGAAAGGTCCCCCTGCGCAGGTCCTTCTGCGCAGCGCCCACAAGCAAGGATGGAACCCACCGAGACTCTCGGGAGTCTGTGAGCATACCTCGGCTTAACCACGTTGGAACTCCCAAACTGGGCCTCTTCTCCGTCGTTCGTCTTTTTGCTTTCCATGATCCCACAGCCGAGCGGCACACGACGTCATGGGCATCGATGAGTTCCTGCAGCTTTGCCTCGGGGGGCTGCGCGGCGCGAGTGGGAGCTTGAACCTGCACCAGCTCGAGCCTCCGCCCGCAAGCTAACTTTAAGATGGTCCCTTCTGGAGTCCTCACTACTAGGCGGCCCCTACTGATATTGGGTGCAAGAAAATCTCCCATGTGGTGTTATACCAGAGGCGTCCCGAGTTGAATCTAAGTTAGAGTGGAACCATGGGCCCCGAGTGTGGTCCCTTACCCTTGTTTAAACGGAATGAACGGGATCCGAAGCATGGGCCCTTGTTATGTATAGTGGATATAAGGGTTCTACAACAGGGGACCCAAATCAAGGACCCATACTTCGGATCCCCTATTGAACATGAAACTACTTGATCTTTATGACGCGCATCGCATCTAGTCACCAACAGATTTTGTCCAGGTTCTCGATCCACCCGGCCTTAGAATCTGAAACCGACGGCAACCCACAAAGCCACGAGATTCGAACTTGGGTCCAGCTGCAAGGTTGCTTCGGAGGCCTTCCGCCGCCTGGTGGGGATGGCCAGGCATGGGGATGTCCAGAACTACCTGAGCTGCTGGTGCGGAAGTCGAACCCACATTTCAGGAAACGCGTCGGATTGAGTCTCCTTTCTTTCGGCGCCGTCACGCGACTGCTAGTCCCCTGAAACCGAGACCCTGAATGCTAATTGATATAAAGCATTTTGACAGACCGCAGCCTGATAGCTGAGCATGTTGAACATAGGGGCCAGTCTAAACCCCTGCGCTGGCTCCCCAACATTAACGCTGCCTACCTGCCTGGACTGCCTACGCGAGCTGGAGCGCGTCAGGGTAGCGGAAGCGAGCAATCACGAGGGGGTACACGCATACTTTCGCGGGCTAGGGTCGCAAAATTGGGGTTGAGCGGTGTCATTGCAAGCACACAAAGTTGGCAAAGACGGCTTATCCTATAGCGTTGCCATGCTCGCCTTTTGCACGAAAGATGTTTCATCACTCTCAGTAGGTTTCAACATACGAGAGCACGAACCTTGCGGTAGAAGTGCAAAACTTGCCGGATCGGAGCCTGCTGGAAAACAATAGTAGGACGCACGGTCTTAAGTACCCAAACCCAAGCGGAACGCGGGCCCGAATGAAGGTCCTACATTGCACATTCAACTCGCTCACAGGCTGTTTCTGGCTTGTGGTGCGCATGTTCGTTCATGCCTACAATGACTTGTGCCCCCTAACTTCGTTTAAGGGAACCCGCAGGAGGGAGGTATGTTGAAGTTTTCCTAAGTGCTCCAAAAAAATATAAGATAAGGTTCGTGTTGCCCTACATCTTAACCCCCCCAAACCAACTTCCATCCACACAGTCAAGGATGGTGAGTATCCTTTTTGCCTGATAGCCCAACTGGGGGCTATTGTGCGGGAGGGATTGATGATCAGGGTTTCGGGTTTAGGGCCTAGGGTTTAGGGTTTAGGGCGATTCCCACACAAAACCTCCTTTGGGGGGAACTTCGAGGCTGTAAACCCTCGGCTCTCAGCCCACCGCTCTGCTGTACCGGTGTTCTGTTGTAACATCGGCGGCGCAACAAGGGTTTAGGGTGAAGGGCTTAGGGCTTAGGGTTTAGGGCTTAGGGTTTCGGGCTTATAGGGTTTAGGGTTTAGGGTTCAGGGTTCAGGGTTCAGGGTTCAGGGTTCAGGGTTTAGGGTTTAGGGTTTAGGGTCTAGGATTTCTTCGACGTGATCCCCATGCCGGGGCGATCCGGCTCCGCTCTGGCCGGGAGGCATCTGCGACTTCCGCGTCAGGAAGGATTGCCTCCGAGTGGCGGCTCGGTTTAAGGGTCCGGGTTCGAGGTTTTGAGGTTGAGGGTTTAGGGTTGAGGGTTTAGGGTTGAGGGTTTAGGGTTGAGGGTTCAGGGTTGAGAGTCGAGGGTTTGGGGTTTTTCGAACCCTGCCGGAGGCCTGCTGTTTTGTGAAAACAAGCCTTTTCTTCGGGCTCGTGGTATTCTTCATCCCCTCAACTAAAGACTAACCCTCATTGCAAGAGGCCCCGTCTGAACACGGTTTCGGGGTTAGGGTTTTACCGGTAAGGCTCCAGGGAGTTGAGGGGAAGAGCAAAGCATAGTCTGTCCGTTAAAAAAACCCGACAAATTTGCACAGGACTCCTGCATGGGGGCGGGGTTTGGGGTTTCGGGATGAGGGGTTTACAAAACCTCACAGTTTATATGGGTTCACGCTGCTGTATGAACTCAAGTAAATTCCGGGTCTTCCTACAAGTTCCCTGCACGCACTAGACCCATCTAGACGCAAGAGTGACCCAGGAATGAAAAATGCCTCTTTCGGTTTACTTCAAGGGGCTTAGAAGAAAACCTGAACCCTAAGAAAGGGGAAGTCGGGGCCTACTCTGGGTCTGGCCCTGGTAACGACAGAAGATTCCCTAAACCGGTGGGCCTCGACGGCCTCACGCGCCGCCGTCGCCTCGCACAAATGCTCGTGGCACTCTTCGAGGGTTCATGGGTGCAGGGTTTTGGGTGGGGCTTAGGGTTTGGGGTTGAGGCGGTTGAGGGTTTGGGGTTTGGGGTTGAGGGTTTGGGGTTTGGGGTTGCGGTTAATAACAAGGCTTAGGGTTTTGGAGCTGCACAGTGCACAGGCTTACAAGGGTTGTTTTTCAAAAAGGTTCGTGTGGTAATCCTAAATGATGTGGCGCCCCTGCCGACTCTTGTCAATTGCCTCCTCGCCCCTACTGTCAACTTAGGGGCTGAATACCCTAGCCCAAACAAGGTTCACCCTTTATTTGCAATAGGATTATATTTTACCAAGAAAGTTAAAGAATACAGTAACTACCCAGCCCACAAGTGTAACAGTTGGGGAGCCAAACCCGCTGCTCTTCCGGGACCCCCTCGATGTGTCGCACGTTCAGCTTTGGGAGTCGGAAACTTGGCCTTGATGAAAGGGGGGCTGAATTCTAAACCCTAAACCCTAAACCCTAAACCCTAAACCCTAAACCCTAAACCCTAAACCCTAAACCCTAAACCCTAAACCCTAAACCCTAAACCCTACACCCTAAACCCTAACCCTAACCCTAAACCCTACCCCTAAACCCTAAACCCTAAACCCTAAACCCTAAACAAAACCCTAAACCCTAAACCCTAAACCCTAAACCCTAAACCCTAAACCCTAAACCCTAAACCCTAAACCCTAAACCCTAAACCCTAAACCCAACCCTAAACCGGAGTGCATCACAAGCCATCCTGGAACGATCTCGGGCAAACCCTACACACCCCAAGCTCTGCCCGACATGCCCGACAAGCTTCTTTTGGCAAGGCGTGGGGTCTGGACCTCGAGAGTGCTCAAGCTTCTTAGGGTAACTACATGGCGCCTTGTTATGAGCCCTTAAACGGGGACGGAAAAACAACCCAAGGGCCAAAACCCTGCATCCTCTGACAAGCCATCCCTGCATCTCTTTCATTCCCACCAACCCGCCCTCCGCGTCAGGGGAAGCCCCGGAACCCATCCACCTAGACGGCCCAGGAAGGCTACCTTCAAGCCTACAGAGAATGGACCATAACTTCAGACTTCGGCTTCAGCTCCCTTGCGTGGAAAGCCTAAACCCTGAAGCCGGACAGCCGCCGCCAGGCCTTCTTGCGGCCCTCGGCGGCGTCTCTGTGTGTGAAGAGACTCTGCCGGACAGGGTTGGAGAAGGAAACCTGTGGGGACGGCATGCTTCTCCTACTTAAGAAACAAACAGCGCGCATTTTGTAGTCTGTTCAAGTGTAGTTGAGTGTGCTGATCCAGTGAAGTGTTTTTTGTGATGCTATGGTATGTTCTGGTACATTCTGGCACGTTACAGCTCGTTGTGTGGTTACTTCTCCGGGCCCGGAAAGAGATGTCGATCATCAAGAGCCGGCGGAGTGCCCAATTTCGGGTGTCGAGCCGAGTTGGAAGGCGTGTTGCTGCAAAATGTACCGAGGTGGTAGCTTAGCCCTGTAAACTCTCTGACGAGCAATGCTGAGCAAGATCTTCTTGAACCCACAAACTCCTGAACCCAACAAGGGAAAGAATACAAATGTATATATATATATGTATATATGTATATATATGTATACATGCGTATTATATATGTATATATGATTCAGCCCCGGCGGGCCCCCCCCCCCCTCCCCCCTACCCCCCCCCCCCCCCCCCCCCCCCCCCCCCTGTGTGTGGTTGGGGTTGGTTTTAGGGTTTTAGGGTTTTAGGGTTTAGGGTTTAGGGGTTTAGGGTTTAGGGTTTTAGGGTTTAGGTTTAGGGTTTTAGGGTTTGGGGTTTTTAGGTTTTAGGGTTTAGGGTTTAGGTTTAGGGTTTTAGGGTTTAGGGTTTAGGGTTTAGGGTTTAGGGTTTAGGTTTAGGGTTTAGGGTTTAGGGTTTAGGGTTTTCCCCCCGCGATGGGGTACTAAGATGATCCCCCCCCCCCTTGGTGTGGTTGGGGGTTGGTTTTAGGGTTAGGTTTAGGGTTCAGGTTTTAGTTTTAGGGTTTAAGGTTTAAGACTTAGGTTTAGGGTTTAGGGTTGGGTTTAGGTTTTAGGGTTTGGGGTTTAGGGTTTACGGTTTAGGGGTTAGGGTTAGGTTTAGGGTTTAGGGTTTAGGGTTTAGGGTTTTAGGGGTTTAGGGTTTAGGGTTTAGGGTTTTAGGGTTTAGGGTTTAGGGTTTAGGGTTAGGGGTTTTATGGTTTAGGGTTTAGGGTTTAGGGTTTAGGGTTTAGGTTTAGGACCGTAGAGTAGGCTTGGGGGGGGGGGGGGGGGATTACCATGGGGGGGGTGGGGGGGGGGGGGGGGCCCAGGACGCTCGACGCTGAACCATATATGTATTCTGCCAAGGGCCTACCGGGGTAGTAGAAGGGGAGTTGCAGTCTCCCCTCGAGCCCTAAGCAAACATCGGGAAACCCTCAACCCACGTCCTGAACCCGTTCCACGATTGAAGGCTTAGCACGGGACGAAAACAGGGGCTCAGAGTTTTACGTAAGGTTCAGGGGTCCTTGGTCTAGGGTGTAGGGTGTATAACACCAACAGCCGATGGACTCTCAGTCGAACCTATCCGGCTATCATATGTCTGCCCTGAGGCCTTGCCAGCATCCACGAAGGTCATCCGCCTGCCATTCAAAGACCTAAACCAAGTTCAAAATACTAGTAACAAAGATGAGCAAGTAACAAAAGGGGCCGCCTCCACTCCTTGTCAAACCTACTTGTCCGGCTTCCCTAGGTTTACGTCGAAAACCCTCCCCCTCTTTCTTGGATACTTTTCTTCGGATTTGGGTTCAGGGCTTAGGTTCTCGAGATTCACAATGGGGATGATCTTATCGGAGCCTACAGCACCCAAAGAAAAGTTGAACTTCGACGGCTACAAGCGGGAGACACTCCGCCTGCACTGTCAGGAGGAACTTAAGATTTCCCCCAATAAGGAAACTCTACAACATCCCATACCTTACCGCATAACCCATACTATGATGACCTGCCCTTTTCTAACACATCCGACACCCCAAGCCCCCAGACCCTGGCCTGCAGCCCCAGCCCATGAGAGCGCGCGCCACCCCACATCCCAGGGTGCCAGCCCCCAGAAGCAGCACCCGCAAATCCTCGCGCAAAGGGCTCCGGGGTTGTGGGTTCGCCTTCCCAAAACGCCAATGGAAAGCAGGGTTGTTGCTGGTAGCTTTAAGAACTAAGAACCCCAGAAAGGAAAAAAGGAAATGGCAAACAACAAAATGTACACGATACAGACAGACAGAGAGAGAGAAGGCGTGCTCAGTGTTCTGTTAGCGTGGCCCCCAGTGCCGCGACCATGTGTTTGTCACCAGCTCGATGTATGGATGCCTCTTATGCACGCGGGTTTAGGGTTTAGGGTTTAGGGTTTAGGGTTTAGGGTTTAGGCTTTAGGGAGAGCTGGCTCTTCCTTCATTCGCTCGGGCTGCAGGGAGGGCAGCACTCGCCACTGCATCAGCTTGACGTTGAGGTCCACAGCATTCGCCTCGGGCATGGGACGACCAAGCCAGCTCTGAAGAAACACAGCGCCTCCATCAAACGCGCGGAGGTTCCCCTTGCCCCAGACAAGGACTATATATGAGGTTGGCGAGAATAAGGGATCCCTATAATTCTGCCCCAAATAATAGGATGCCCTTACAAGAAGGACCCCAATAAGGTACCCCTAATATTGTAAACCCCCCCAAATTGGGGTTTCGGGACACAACCAAGACCACATGGGCCTGAGCAGCCAGGGCCGAGAACCAGTAGTCAGCCAAGCCACCGCAACAGTTTTGGAGTCGAGGAAGCGGGTGAGGTCCGTGGTAGCGATTTTCCTGAGATGCAGGCCAGAGACTGTATGCAACCGAGAAGCACCGGAGCTGTGCAAAGATGGCAGATGAGTTGTTTTTTTTTCTGCCGGGATCTCATGGTCGTGCACACGGCGAGATTCAAACCCACGCAGTGAGGCTCCCTTTGTGAGCGCGCCCCTTGGGGCACCGTCTTCGGTGGCGCCACGCCACAATTGACAACCTGACCTCAGTGCTAGACGACCGCCAAAGCGGGTGCTTCCAGCTGGTTGATCCCACGGAGGTCTACGTCGAAGACCAGGTCGGCCCCGGGCGGAATGGGCCCTTTGCCTGCATCTCCGTACGCGAGGGCAGCCGGGATGTGCAGTGCCGCTCGTTCTCCGAGGCTCATGTGCTTCAATGCCACCTCCCAACCACGGATGACCTGCGAGGTGCCAAGCTCGAAAGCGAACTTGCCATGGTCGAAGATCTTGCCGTCCATCAGGTACCCCGCGTACTGCACAGAGACCACGTCGCCCTGTCGGGGAAATGTCTTAGCATCACCTGCCCGCACCTGCTTCAGCCTGAGCCCATCCTCCAAAAGGAGGCTCGCAGGGCTTGCCGGCGGTGCAACGGTCATGTTGCTGGGCTTCGTGTCCAAGCTCTTGCCCACGCCAGCAGCTGAGTCCAGGATGGCTTTCATGGTCTCATCATCCGGTATCTGTCCTTGCTGCACCTTCTCAATAAGATCCGGGCTCAAGATCTTCTTCAAAGCGCTTGGGCTGTTGATGACTTGTGACATGGCCGGATTCATTGCGGCCAGCTGCTGCACCATGGGGTCTTGCTGCACAGCCTTCATCAGCATCCCAGTGTCATTGCTCAACTTCTGGATCTGCTCCTTCACGCTTCGGTTCTCAAGCTCGGTCCTTAACTGCGGGTCGATGTAAGCTGCGGAGAGCTCGCCACTCACGCCGCTCATGTCCATCATCTTCATCAATTCATTTGCTGGCATCCGGTCTCCCTGACCCAACGCCTGGAACACCTTGCTCCACGGCTCCATGCCTGGTGGGAGGGCTCCGCCATGCGCCAAGTCCTCTAGGTTGAAGCTCTGCAGATCCGGCGTCAGAACCTCAGCGCAACATCAGAGAGCGCAAGCGATGGCTTCACGCAGACTGCACAGATGAACCTCAGCGCATGCTGCACACTTGATTCAGGGCAAGCAGCTGCTTTTTGCTCCTTGGCCACCACCACTCCGGAAGGCGCGAGTGCATGCTGGAGCGCTGACACCATGAATGGGACGAGCATCAGCCCACACCAGGTCATTGGAGAGGGCGCCATCCTGAAACTCGCACGCCGAGGGTAGTGCTCAACGGAGTCGCGGCTAGCTGCTTCGAGCATAGAGCGGTGCATGTCGCATCAACTCCCGGAGTGCTTCTCTAAAGCAACCGGTGCTGGATCTTGCATGGACAAGAGAAAAGCGTCCCCAAGTCTGCAAGGTGTTCCGTCATAGCTGCCCATGGACTTCCAAAGCAGGCCTACACCCCCAAACCCTGATGAACCCTGCACCTTGATGCCAAGCTTCGACCAACCTGGTCGACTCTCAGCGGGCACGGCCGGCACCTTGGGCACGTCGACGTCAAAGAGCCGAGATCGGAGGGGCGCTGAGCCAGGGCAGTGGGAAGGCAGGGCTTTGGGTCGCGAGCCTTAGGGTTCAGGGTCGAGGGCATCCTGTTAAGGCTCCGTTTAGGGGCCGCGCTGCGCGACTGCAACAATGACCACAAGTGCCTCACGTGCCTAGTGACTGAAGTCCGAATGAAGCACATGTAAGCAGCCTACTCCCAGTAGGTTTGTTGGGGGGGCGGTTCTCGTGAGGCCCGCCTTTGGATTCCCCTTCATACCCCGGGTCCTTTCTTGCAGTCCCCAATCAGCGACCCTTTAACCCTAAACCCTAAACCCTAAACCCTGATCCTTAAACCCCTGAATCCTAAACCCTAAACCCTAAACCCTCACATCCGAAGGCCATCCTCCGCTTCGCCTGCGCCGCCGTAGCCCTCGGAACCCGCAGCCAGCTGCGGGTCTCCTCAGCACAGCGGCGAGACGAGGGTTTAGGGTTTAGGGTTTAGGGTTTAGGGTTTCGGTTTAGGGTTTAGGGTTTAGGGTTTAGGGTTTGGGGTTTGGGGTTTGGGGTTTGGGGTTTGGGGTTTGGGGTTTGGGGTTTTTGGGGTTTGGGGTTTGGGGTTTGGGGTTTGGGGTTTGGGGTTTGGGGTTTGGGGTTTGGGGTTTGGGGTTTGGGGTTTGGGGTTTGGGGTTTGGGGTTTGGGGTTTGGGGTTTGGGGTTTGGGACGAGGGCTCTACTAGACCCAAAGAGTGACAAAGCGCACCCTTCTCTAGCTCATGGTTGGGATAGTATTAGAAATTTGAATTTTCATTCCTTATTGGGTTTTTGTGCCCGTTAAACGTGTGAAATGTTACCCCGCTATGACAAGGTTCTTGGTTGGATATAAGTTATAAGGGGACCCTGAACGCAAGAAGACGGGCTGAGTCCCGAAGGGTCTCCACTAAACAGAACCCTAACCCCGAACTAAACCCACGACCCATGAACCCTAAACGGCGTTTAGGGTTTAAGGTTTGGGGTTTAGGGTACCCCAAACCCAAAACAAACAAGCCTGATCCAGACCGGGGCACGGAAGCTGAGAATGCGGTACTTCCCCGGGCGATGGAACGCCAAAAGCATCAGGAGGTTCCTTTGCGGAAAGTGTTTGGTGCAAACCCTGAACCCTGATCCCTATTCCATGTCACCTGTTCCCTGAACCCTACACTGGGTTTGGGGGCCATCGTACTTTCGGGGTTTGGTAGATTCCTTTTTCAGTTTAGGGTTTAGGGTTCAGGGTTTAGGGTCTAAGGCCAAGGTTCGCGTAGGGGCCACAAACGCCCCTTACTTGGATGAACTCCCAAGTGAGATAGAGTGAAAGTCTGGGGTCTGGCGCTTCAATTTGCAAGGCCTCCACCCAACTCCCTGTAGACGAGCCCTAGACCCTGTTTAGGGCTTCGGGCCCCCGTGGCCACCGGTTTAAGGATTCCTCAAAAATAGGTAAAGCCAACACAGGGGTACCTCAAATACATACAGCCAACAGACGATAATCACGATTACAGGAACACCCCAAAAGGGGTCTCCCTTTTTGAAGGGAAGCCACCCATGTTCAAACCTGGTCCTGCTTTCTTAGGGTAGTTACACAGTACTCAAAAGGGACTCTTTATATATACGCCCTTTTAAAGGACTCCTCATACCCTCCATATGGCCCATACTTCAGAGCCCCTAAAAGGAAGTAAGGCACCATATGAAGGGCCCATAGAACTGCCCTTAGATGCTTCAAGGCCGTAGCCTCTAAGGGATGAAGCCCAAGAATCTGGAGAGGCCAGCCGGGCGCCTGCGCACAAAAAGCAGAGGGCTTCGCACGAGGCAACGGAAGCGCCGGCTGGGAGGTTCATGAAGGTACCTATAAGTAGGGCCATAAGCAGGGTAGCTCTGGTCATAGCCTCACTTAGAAGTACCCCATGAACCTTCATAAGTATGTCCCAAGAGCCCAAAGCAGCACGCAGTCAGAGAGGTCGGGCCTGGAGGCTTAGAGATTCTTAGGATCTATAAATATTAGGGTTTAGGGTTTAAGGAGTTTTTGGGTTTAGGGTTTAAGGGTTTGGTGGTTTGGTGGTTTTAGGGTTGAGGGTTTTTGGGGTCCAATGTAGACGGAGGGGCCGTTGCGCGCTCTAGCGAAGCAAACGAAGCTTCGGCTGTCTGCCGCAGAAGAGAAAATGCTCGTGAACCCCTGCTGTTAACCATGAATTCCAGTCAACGTCACTCCGAAGTCCGAAGCCATGCTTGGGCTACTTGGGCTATTTGGACCATTCTTGGCTCTTTGGGCTATCGCCCTGACATCGGACACAAGCCTCACCCGAGGCAGGATCGGCGAAAGCCACAACCAGCGCTTCTGCAGTCAGGGCCTGGGTTCAGGGGTTTTGGGGTTTAGGGATTTAGGGGTTTAGGGTTTAGGGGTTTAGGGGTTTAGGGATTTAGGGATTTAGGGACAGAGGGGTTTAGGGGTTAAGGGACTTAGGGGCTTAGCTTAGGGTTTAGGGCTTGGGGGTTCAGGATTTAGGGCTTGGAGCTTCCATGGGGTTTAGAGTTCAGGGTGCAGGAATTTGTCTGACCCGGAACTCTGCATATCCACAGCTCTCTTACTAAGTAAACGGGAGTTGCTACCAAACTGCGGGTGAACATCACAGAATGAAAGGCGCCCTTTCCTTGTGCGATGTATGAAGGAGCCCGAGGGGCCAAAAGGGTAAAAGAACGCAACCAGGTTTCCGAGCTACAGACCCCTGCAAGCTACATACCCATGACGAGCCTATAACCCCCAAAAGCCCTATCTATACCCCTTTAAAACCCTGAAGCTAAGTAGCGCCAGATAAATAAGGGCGCTCGAGTTTGCGGCTTGGAACGCATTGGCTCAAAGGCCGAATAAATCGGTGTGTAGAGTTCGGGGCTGAAGGGCCTTCAACCCTGAACCCTAAACCCCAAAATTTAGGGTTCGGGGTGCTTGGGGGGTTTCAGGTTCACGGCTTCGAACACCACTGCGCCTTCAGCCGTGGGAGCTCTGAGAGTGGGTGGACTGACCAAGTAGGGGCTGCAGAGGCCTGGTGCAGGGCTCTACAAGGAACAGCCTAGGGCTTAGGGAACTCTGGGGTTCAGGGTTTCGGGCTGGGTTTAGGGCTTCGGGCGAGTTCTTCCGTGCTGTGGAAATGGGGAACCACACTTTTGCAAACTGCAAGTGGCCGAGGAGAAAAAAAGAGGACACCCAACCCTGAACCCTACAGTGGGGTAGGTCTGGGTGCCCTATAAAAATTTTACTAGTATTGCTTGACAAGGAGTATGAAGGGGATTAAGGGTACACAAGTAATAACTCATATGTTCAAACCTACCCCTGTACGACTGTACAAGATGCTTGGGGATGTCAGTCGTAGCTATTGCCTTGGACTCGGCAGTTCCCAACGAGCGCGTGAGACCCCTTTGCATGCTTTAAGTAAATACTGAACAGAGCTAGTTGAGTTAAATTTCCATTCCTTCTGGAGTTTAAGTACCCTTAAGATGTAAAATGCTACGCCACTATGACATAGAGAGACCCTTACACAGGCAAAAGTACATTCTTGGCGACGAGTGCGGCATGGTGCTGGTCTTTTAGCACGGCGCTGGGCTCGGTAGCAACGACAGGCACCCGCCACACTCTACAACCCTCGAGCCGGGTTTAGGGTTTAGGGGCTAGTGCATCGGAACTTTCTTCGAAAGGTCCCTCCCTCCATATGGCCAGTGAATTCTAGGACATCCGGAGGGCATCACTACCACGAAAGTTCTGCAATTGGTATCCACACAGCTAATATTACTATACAAGACAACATTGATTCAAAACATATATGTACACATGTTGATATGACCTGTTTGTGACATGATAAGACAAGAGATGAGGCTATGGTAAGATATGATGTCATATGACAGTCCATTACATATCGCCGAATGTTCTATTGCATGATGTGTTCACAGAGATTGATGAACCCATGGGTAGTTCTCTAAATTAGGTCTCTTTGGGATCCTTATTTTTAGGGCGCCGTCGTATATAGGACCCCAAAAAGGGACGCTAATTTCGAGAACTACCCTAAACCTTAGGTCCCAAACCCTAAACCATAAACCCTAAACCCGGAACCCTAGACCCCAAACCCTAAACCTACCCGTATGGTATGGCATGGCGTACGTTGTGCTGCTGTCTGGTTTTCGGGCTCAGGAATGCCGGCCTCGCTGCGGACGAGGAGTCGCACGCCCGAGTGGCTTGGGTCCTCGCCTACGGCAAATGGGCTGCTTAGGGTTTAGGGTTTAGGGTTTAGGGTTTAGGGTTTAGGGTTTAGGGTTTAGGGTTTAGGGTTTAGGGTTTAGGGTTTAGGGTTTAGGGTTTAGGGTTTAGGGTTTAGGGTTTAGGGTTTAGGGTTGATGGAACTTTGCGGTCCGCATGTCGGGCTGCATGACTTAGGCTGGCAAGTCAGGGCTGAGGAATTAGGGAATTAGGGTTACGAGGATTGGAAGCTGGGGGGCTCACGTGTCGGGTTCCGGGCTTGGGGATGTGGGCTTTCTGGGCCTGGGCCTTCATTGCATCAAGGCGCTGCAAGATGCCAAAACCGCTTCCGCAGCTCCATCTCATCAGCATCCACCGTTAATCACATGGCCACTTGAAACGCACCCATCTCGACAACGGTTCACAGTCCGGCGTGCAGATTCTCACTTGGTTCTTGAAGGTACGAATGGCACGAAGCATCTAGAATCTAGAACTTCTGGTGACCACCAGTCCTGATCCAGGACCCTAAACCCTAAACAACCCTACAGTCTGAACCACGCAGAGGCCCGGGCGAAGGCTCCGCGCGAGCTGCGCCACCTCTTTGCGGTCCAGGACGGCCTCCCGAAAGGGCTCTTTAAGCCTGAGTTCAGGATTTGGGGTTTAGGGCTTAGGGTTTGGGGTTTAGGGCTGAACTCTGCCAATGGAGCAGTTAAGGTCACAGGGTAGGGTCCAGGCTTTAAAAAAAATAGGATTTGTGGTCTGCACAGCGTCTCGGCTTTTGGGGGTGGATAGTCTACCTATGGTCTATAGGACTTGGGGTTGATAGTCTACGTAGTGTCTAGGCTTTTGGGGCTAGTCATCTATGAAGTTTCTGGGGCTTGGGCTGGAGGTTGGAGGACCGATGGTTGTGCAGGCTGCAGGGTTGAGGGCTGAGGGCTTGGAAGAAGTCTCGCTTCCAACACCTCACCCCCGACCTTCACCAAAATACCCGCGAAGCTTGCGAGGCAAATTGGGCCATACCATAGGGGGCCTTAACACTTAGAATAGGGTTTTGGGGAAGATTGTAGCAAAATTATGGAGGGACCATAAGGGAACACACGGCCAGAACCCAAAACGGCAGAGTCAAGCCTTTAAAGTGAAGGAATTAAACAGGGAACAGAACCGCAGGTTCAAGAGTTGTTTTTTGGGGGGTTTGGCTTTAGACGGTCTCGGGACTTGAACAAGGCTTAGGGTTCGGGGGTATGGTTTGGGTAAGGTTGCGCTCAACCCTACACTGTAGTGCCTCCGTTCGCCCAGCAGGTTGCCAGGCCCAAGGCGAAGACAAGCGAAGGGCCGGAACGCTCAAGAGGTAGCTGTAGTGGTACCTGAGGCTGTGGGCAGATTCTGATTCTTGGGTAGTTTTGAACTTGGGGTTGAGGCTTACAGCGTTTAGGCTCATAGATCTAAAGGGCTTCTGTAAGAGATTGTGTGTTTAGGGGCCTCGCTCTTTTGAACTTGGACTCTGCACCAGGTGCAGGTCCTGCTGTAAGAGGTGTACCGGTGTATCTGCCGGTGCGAGGCTGCTTTCACGATGCTGCTTGCGACCACCCTGCTACATTGAAGGACCCTCAAACAGGGCCTCTCCCCTAATCATCCAAAGGGAGCTCTGACACAAGCTTTCAGCTGCCAAGCGGACGAGTGCAAAGGCAGGAGGACGTGCATGAACAAACAGCATGAAGCTGCATGACCCTTACGAGGAAGAAACAGACAACCATGTGTTGGAGGTGTTGCAGACCAATTGGGCGCGGTGGCACCAACTACAGACAACATACATCTTCTAAAGTTCTCCCTCAAACACCATGCTCGGCGCTCACACGGCACACTCCGATCAAGCAGCCCTCTTCGAAAGCAAAGCCCCGCAGGAGAGGCAACGAACCCCCCCAACTTCTTGCATTCCGACGCCTGGTGGAGCTACTAAGGCGACGATCGCACCATGAGCCCCACAAATCCCCAAGCTCTCAGCTGAGGCGCTTCTTGAGGTCAGCGAACGTGCAAAGCAGCAGCCGCCTGCTTCTGAGGGTTGAATGAAGCCCCTGAACCCCCTCATGCCTGCTTGAAACTGTGGCTCTCGAAACATCTGTCCGGCATCCTAAGATTCAACACCTCGGGTTTACGGTAGACAGGCCCCAGGGGTTTAGGTTTTCGGATAGGGTTCCAGGGCATAAGGTTTAAGGCTTAAGGTTTAGGGCTTCAGGGAGCACCTCAGTCTGGCGGGTTCGTCGATGGCCGCACCGGACTCGATGTCCCCGCGGATCTTCGCCACCGCCTGGCGAAGTCGCAGGATTGCGAGGGCATACCCCACAAGGAAACCCCCTAAACCCTAACCCTAAACCCTAAACCCCAAACCCTAAACCCTAAACCCAAGGGACGTTTCGGGGACCTTGTGCCACCACTGGGCCTTTGAATCTGAGGGCTGTGCTCAAGTGTTCCCTTTTCAGGGGGATCTCGCTTGAGGTCCCCTGAGAGGAACCTGGGAAAAGAAATTGCCCCCTTCTAGTTGGAGCCGAACTCAGCAGAAAAGAGAAGCATTTAGGTTGGGGGTTAGGGGAGGAGGCGCCGACCCCTTCTTCGCTACTTCGCTCTATGGCAGTGTGGCACTGTTGTCTGTTGTCATCGTGTCTCCGGAAGACCAGAACCGCAGACCCCTACACCCTGCGCCAAGCGAATGTCAAGCCCGCAGTACGTCGAGCAAAAAACTGTCGCCTGCTTTCGAGACGTAAATTCCAAACTCCTCACCCCCAAATCCCGAAAACCCCTAAAAACCCAAACCCGAAACCCCTGGAGCCTAAACTCTCGAAACCCCACACTCCTCGAACACCTAGGTAAAACCTCGAAACCCCTCCAAACCCCAAACCCTGCTCCAAACCCTAACCCCCAAACCCTAAGCCCTCCCTCGACCCTAAACCCCTTAAGCCCGCTAAACCCTCAACCCTAAAAAACCCCAAAGCGCCCTGTACCCGAAGCATAGACTTCCCTAACGTACTAACCCCCCCCACCCCCTCCCCGACCCTAAACCCTAAACCCTCAACCCGAAACCCCAAGCCCCAAGCCCCAATCCGCACCCTCTCCGGCCTCGGCCAAGCAGCTCGCGCGCGCTTCCGCGTTCCCGAGGAAGCCCCGGAACTCCTCAAAAGAGTGAAGAGTCTGGCTTTGAGGGCTGTTGGTGGTTTCGATTTGAGGGTTGAAGATCTAGGGTTGAGGGTTTCGGGTTCAGGGTCGAGTTGTTCAGGGTCGAGGGGAAAGGGTTGGCTTTCTCGAGGGCGTGGGCGACAGTCGCGCTGGCGCCTCCTCAGTGTTGAAGTTCTTCCTTGGCTCGCGCGAGCGTGAGGAAGAAGCTGGGAAAACTGTGCTGCAAGCCTAGATGTACAAAGACATGGCAAGAACCCCAGATTGTAATCCCTATTAAAGGGCTGTTAGAAAAAGGCAGAGAAAAAGGGTAAACATCCCAACCTTAAAACCCTGAGCCTCTCTGCCCGAAGCCTGAGCCTTCGAAACCACCTTGAGCCCCTACACCTACACCCTGAATGGCCCTAAATCCTAAACTCCAAGCTGCTATGTGCTTAAGAACTCCTAACAGAATAGACTAGTCTTCCTTATAAGGGTAGTGTAGCGAATTGTTATCTTCTGCTTTTTTGTTGTGTGCTCGTAGGGTTTACTCAAGGGTTGCTGCCCAAGGGGCAGCTCGCCCGAGACGGCAACACCTCCGGAGGGCAGATGCGGCTCCTGCAGGCAGAGGGATTTCAGAGTTTCGGCTTCTGTTGGTAGTGAGGCTCCGGAAAAAAGCTCGCGGGCCTAGATAGTTCAGTGTAGACCCAAAAGAGCGCCTTCATTCAGGGCTTTAGGGCTTTCGGGATTTTGGGGCTTTAGTTCTAGGCCTGCCTTGCCCTAGGGAGCACAGGGAACCCCTCACACCTTGGATCCCGTGCCTTGGGGAAACTGACCCGAAAGAGTCCTCAAAGGCATCCTTCTGCAGATAGCACTTTGCCGGCACGCCCGCGGCCTGACATCACTGCCAGGCGGAGGAGCAACACGTTTGGGGGATTTCCTAAACCCTACCACGAAAGGGGAAGAAGGGCACCACTGGGTGTCCTAGGCCCTCTTCTTTTTGACCCCCCACGCCCGGCTTCGCACCTGAGAAGCCTCGAAGTAGGCAGTGAGCGGCACATTCGATGAGTCCAGCCCTCGGCTTACCGGCATGTAGTGATGGGGGGCTATTGGGATTCGGGCCCAAGTCAATCCTAAAGCCCCAAACCCTACACCCATAAGATTGCCACGTGAATCCTAAACCGTCAACGCCCCCACAGGAAAGGGACAAAAAGGGCTTCTGAGGCGGGATCACGGGCGCCTTTGAGGGTCTAGGAGTTCCAGGGCTCCGGGGCTTGGTTTATGGTTCCACAGCCCAGGGAATGTGTCTTGGGTCCTCGGGGCACGCGCCAACCCAAAGTCTTTACTCCGACCAACCGCACACTGGAACTACATATCCGGCGAAGGGAATAGCATAAGTCAAAATGTGTAACAACCCTGCGCCGAGGGTGGGGAACGATTGGAGCCTGGGTGGTTTGAATCAGGCATCTTAGGGGTATATGTATGTTTTATTGATATTTGTATCTATATTTATATTCATATTTATATTTAGATGTATATATTCATCTAGAGGTATATTTATATTTCTATGTATATTTATATTTATATTTATATTTACATGTACATTTACATGCATATCTACATTTATGTTGATATTTATGTGCATATATTTGTAGTTATATTTATAATTATATGTATATATATATATATTGGTTTTTTGAAAGTTTCCATTTGTTGTATATAGAGTATTACATTTGTGTATCATGTTTTGTTTTGCTATACAATACTAGAGTATTCATGGTACATAGCATACAACATTCTATATACATTTTATGCACCACTTGTGCGGTGTTATTCCATATGAGAGCATTCATTGTTATACATACTTTTTAATGACCCCCGGCATTCAATCCAGGCGGCGCCAGACGTCCAGCTTCCGACGGCTAAGCTCCTTGTGGAGGCGAGCGCGCTTGATTTTGTTCAGACCCTACTTGGCGGTTCGGGTTTAGGGTTTGGGGTTTAGGGTTTGGGGTTTAGGGTTTGGGGTTTAGGGTTTCGGGTTTAGGGTTCATGGGCAGTTCTTCGTGGGGCCACAAGTACCCTACGTAAGGATGTAACCATAGTTGCACCCTACTTCTCAGAACCCATGAACCTCCAAGTAATCCTCAACCATAAATCCCGAAGGGTTGAACTAGCGTTTTGGCTTTGGGCGGCCTCAACCCAAAACCCCTGAACTCTGACCAAGGATCAGCTCCCGAAGCACGCGGTTAGGGCATTTTAGGTTCAGGGGTGTGGGGGTTTAGGGTTTAGGGTTAAACCCCAAACCCCAAAACCCCAATGTCTCCGAATCTTTCGGAAACCGAGCAAACAAGTCCCAAACCTTGACAAAACATCCCAGAACCTGTGTCCCATGTGTGTGTGTGTGTTAGCTCTAGGACCTAGGATTGATAATGATGTATACTAGCTCGATATGGGTCTTTACGTTCCGTGTTTATGTGTACTTTCAGTTCTGTTTCAGGATGGCGCGCAGGGGTTTCTGAACTTGGGGATAGGCACTCGAGGGATAATGCGCGGAAGTCTCTGGGCACTCCAGGGATGTAGACTCTCCGGGATTCTCTAAACCCTAAACTTTAAACCCTAACCCTAAACCCTAAATCCTGAACCCTAAACCCTAAACCCTAAACTCTAAACCCTCCAGCGAAACTTTTTTGCGGACCTGGGACGCCACCTTAAACAATCACCGGGCGTCCTGCCAGAAGCCGATATCCGGGGCCGGAAGGAGGGCCTCGAAGTCCTCCGCAAGCGCCCCGAAAAAAGATTAGGGTTTAGGGTTGAGGGTTGAGGGTTGAGGGTTGAGGGTTGAGGGTTGAGGGTTGTGGGGAGGGGGGGGCTTAGGGTCTAGGAGGTTGCCCTTCAACCCTTGAGAGGGGGGATGCTTGGGTCTGATGCTTGGAGCTAGCAAGGTATGACAAAAACGCGAAGGGCTTGAAACGACGCGCCCAGGAAGAGGATCCACGAGCAGATTGAGTGGCAAAAACCTTTACAGGGGCCATCTCAGAAACCAGGGTCGAAGAATAAACCCTTCCCCCTAAATATTTAACCCCCATATCATCGCATTATTACAGCACAATAGCGGAGGGGTTTAATATCAGGCGTTTGATCTCAGCACCAGGAGATTAAGAGCCCAAATGGTGAGACCAGGGCTTGGGCAGAGCTCTCCCGGGACGTGCATTTCCAGTGCGCAACTGCATCAAGTGCGAAAATCTTTTGCAGAGCTACCGGCCCCAAAGACGCCATCAAACCCCGCGCTCAAACCCCTAAACCATAAACCCCAAACACAAACCTGAACCCTAAACCTCCCTGCATGCACAGACATGGAACCACCAACTTGGAGGCCCAGTAGCCATATCAGAATAATGGTACCCTTTTTTGGGGGCTGGATACTTTATAAGGGGGCCTTGAACTCAAAAAAAGGGAAAAGGGCACCACTGGGCTACCAAGCCAACTACATGCAGTCCTTGGGTGGCCCCTGGCCAGCATGCGCCATGGCCCCAATGACGAGGCTGGTGAGTTCTAATGTGGTAGTGGTGACGCATGAACCCTGAACCATAAACCCTAAACCCAAAAAACCGTATACCCTAAACCCTGAACCCAATTGAGTGCACAGGAGAGAGCAAGCTTATGGGCACGTCGAGCAGCGAGCCCCAAGCGAGGATTTGGGGTTTAGGGTTCAGGGTTTAGAGCTTAAAGCCATTGTCCCGCCACTTGGAGGTTCCATTGTCCCCCCTTATAAGTTCAGGGTACTTTTACCCCCAGTGATAACTGTGCTTATAAGCCCCCCTACGCCCTCGCCTCCAAGCAAAGTGTCTTTCCTCATCGCTTATCTACACGGCTCCGAGCCGGCCCTGCGGAAAGCGTTCTTTGATCTTCATTCCTAAACTTGTGCAAGTGGTGCGGGTTGTGGGAGTTTAGGGGCGAATGCGTTTGAGCTTAGAGACCCCCAGGCGGGAGGTTATAGTACAGTCTCTTCTGGGTACCTATGATACCACGGTAGGGCACCCAAAAAACCACGATGGTTCAGAACAAGTTAGGTGATGAAATTTAAGGTTCGAAATCCAGGGTTTCCCCAACAGCCGGGAAAATGAACGAGGACTTTATTTGGCTCAGTGGAGCCAAAGCCTGTTCATCACACAGCAAAAAAACACGCAAAAAGCTACCAGCAACGTTCCATCTTGAGGATTCAAGCATGCCGTGGTTTGTGTCTATCCGGGGCCAGTGTAGGTACAGGGGTTTAGGTTTTGGGGTCTGACGAAGGCCTAAGTTAAAAGTTTAAGGTTTTACCAGCATCATCCTTCCATAATCCCTTAATTCCCTATAGCTTTTGGTCAATTCAGCCACCCAAGCTACCCGGTCCAATTGAAGAGGGCCCTCTATGATAGGGCATGTTAAGGAAGGGGCTGTTCTGACTAGTTAGGGCTTAGGGACATTATCATGTTGCACGTTTTGGGATGCCTGCGGGCCTTGTGGGGATTCTTCGATGTTCGCGGGATTACGAGTCAGGGTCCCCAAACCCATGGGTACAAACTTAAGGGGTCCAAGGTAGAGCCCCCTTGAGCCCTTGGAAACCCCACGTAACCCTCATATGGGGGTTTCCGAAAATAGGGGTACCTTATTTGGGTCCTAATTATATGGGAATCCTACTACTTGGGGTCTGTATTAGGGGGTCCCGTATTGTCGAAGCACCCTCGCCCCAGAGTCCCAAAAGTTTACTCGTGCTCGTGGCTTCAGGCGTGGGATAGCTTGGCGAATTTCGACTGATTGCCTTGGCGCTAGGAACCGTTAGGCTTTCTCGGAAATCGCAGGTCCTCTCCAAAGCCAGGAATTCCTCGAGGCGTACACGAAACCCAGCTGTGGGTGCAGGGGCTGTGGGTTCCGGGCTTGGTGCTGGTTCAGGGCTTTAGGCTTTGCTCTTGGCTCTTGGGCCGAAAAGTCGGCCGCCTGAAAACGGATGCCGCAGCCCCCAAGCCGAGTCCTTAAAGCCCTCTGAAACTGCCACATGTCAGGGCTCCCAAAACCTTCCCCTTACTACCCTACCCCATTGCCTTTCTCTCGTTTCATCCACCATCTTGCCTCAAAAAAAAACCCTAAACTTCAAAACCCTAAAACCCTGCACCCTTAAAACCCGGCATGTCGTGGCTTGTGCCTGTCCGAGGCTTTCGGGGCTAGGGTCGACTCTTGAGTCTAAGAAACAAACATCATCCGCCTACAATCCCTGAATATCCCTATGTAGCTTCTGTTGTGAGTCACGCAAACGACCCTGAAGAGGCCCCTATTACGTAGGGCACATTGAGGAAGCTCTTTGGGACGTTTGAATGTTCAGGGCTTTGGGATATCTGTGGGCCTTGTGAGGGTTCAGGGGCTCTTCGATATTCGGATGAAGAGCCGAAGCACTGAGCCCCAAACCCTAAACCCTACACTCTAAACCCTGAACCCTAAACCCTTTGCCGCGCGCTTTTCTGCCCCCCCCTCCGCACTGAGGTCATCCTCCTGGCTGCCCATGCAGCCAGCTACCTCGACTTTCGGGGCATCGGCATAGGTAATGTAGGGGCCAATTTGCTTAGAATTGGTAGTTTGGGCTGTCTATATTTGAATGTTATAATATGGGCCCAGTCATAATGGCAGACTGGTTGTAATCGTTTGGACCAATGAGCTCATGCGCCGAGAAACGCCGGCAGTGCTTCTCAACCGGAAAGAACCCTAACGTGCCACGCCTCGCACATGTGCGGCATGGCTTGGTCGTTCACGAACAGGTTGACTGCCTTTAGCGGAGAAGTCTCCAAACTGCGTTCAAGATACCCAACGCCATGGAGACGTGCTGAGCACTCAACGCCGAGCCCTATGCCAGGCCTTCTGCGTCCGCAGGGCAGAGATTGCTAGCAGGTCACCTCGGCCACAGGGAAAAAACTCAAGCCCAAGCAAGCTGACCATCCCCAACCACAACCTTATTTCGGGCACTTATAACCCCACTTATCACGACTCTGAAACCCAAAACCCCTGAAATCTAGACAACCTTCAAGCAGGCTAGGGAGCCGTGGGCTGTGCGCAGCAGGAGGATGCAGCCACCTGCTCAGCGAACTGACGCTGGCATTCCAGGGTGGTTTGGGGTTTCCAGGGCTTACTTGAAGGTTCATGGGTAGTTCTAAGCGTGGTAATAAGTGCCCTCAACAAGGTTATAACCATGGTTACCCTACTTATAACCCCACGTATAACTACCCATGAACCTTCAGGCAGGGATGTGTCGGGGTCGACGGCCAAAGGAGGGCCTTGGCCCTGCCTAAAGAAAATCCCTTCAGTCTTGCGTTTCCACAGAAACTACTAAAAGGAGCCCTGCCTCGAACTAGAGGAGCCCCCTCCCTAAACCACCCCCCCCCCGCCTCCCCCAAAGGCCGTAAAAAGGCCTTGAGGGTTTTAGGGGTTTAGCCCCTAAACCCTAAATAAACCCTCATCCCTCAACCCTAAACCCTAAACCCTAAACGCAGTCACTTCCAGCCTGGGCTCAAGGGAGCCAGGGCTGGACCCCCGGCCAGTGCCGCCAGCGGGGCGTTGCGGAGGGCCCCCAGCAGACGCCGGGTGTCCGAGAGCTCCTGAGGTTTAGGCTTTAGGGTTTGGGGTTTAGAGTTTAGGGTTTAGGGTTTAGGGTTTAGGGTTTAGGGTTTAGGGTTTAGGGCTTATCCCGAGCCCGCATCACTCGCAAGGAAGATATCACCTAAGCTATCATACATGTTCTGGAACTCTGCGAGGGCAAGGAGGGTTCTTGGCCTTCCGGTATGCAGGTGTCGCACCCTAAACCCTAAACCCTACACCCTAAACCGGGTCTGGAGGTCTCTGGGCTTCGGCTTCCGAGGCCAGCTGACCCGTCCTCCAGGACGACCACGCGCCGTCCCACATAGGGCAACATCCTGAGAATCCAGCCCCCAAGCCCGAAACCCCTAAACCCCTAAACCCCTAAACCCCTAAACCCCTAAACCCCTAAACCCCTAAACCCCTAAACCCCTAAACCCCTAAACCCCTAAACCCCTAAACCCCAAACCCCTAAACCCCTAACCCCTAAACCCCTAAACCCCTAAACCCCTAAACCCCTAAACCCCTAAACCCCTAAACCCCTAAACCCCTAAACCCCTAAACCCCTAAACCCAAACCCCCAAACCCCAAGTAAGTGGTTGGTTGGGTTTAGGGTTTAGGGCTTGGGGTTTGGGGTTTGCCTAAACCCCAAACCCCAAACCCTAAACCCCAAACCCAACCAACCACTTACTTAAGCAGGCCGGGTTGGGGGGTCGGAATCAGGTAAACCCTAACCGTCTCAATGGAATCATACTCGGACCCCTAAGGATGTACCCCTAAAAGGTTTCCTAAACGCGCTGCTAACATGGCCCTTATCATCTTATCTTTAAAACGGGTCCCCAGGCCTAAGGGTGCAACCTTTGGGGCCCAAGGCAGAGTCCCATGACAACGGGCTTAGGGGTTTAGAACCCTTATCACCCTTACCATAGGAGCCTTCAAGAAGGGTGTCCCTAAACCCTACACCCTAAGCCCAAGGCGTCCTATTCAAAATCTTTCGAATGCGGCCCCAGGCTCGGCTCAACGGCTTCTTGGGCGAACCTGTGGGTCAGTTCCGGGCATACTGGCTAAGGTGCCAGGGTTTGGATTTAGGGTTTAAGGTGTAGGGTTACCAAACCTTTCTAGGTACCAAACCTAGAGAGACCAACTACCCATTGATTCAGGAATAGGCCTTCCCTAAACCCGAAATCTTTGTGGTGTAAGGCACCTGCCTTTGATAAAGTGTGCTGGGGTCTATGGGAGGGGCTTCACATGTCCCAAGTCAGATGCGCACACGAATCCCGTGGAGGAGTGTAGGGTTTAGATTCTGAGGGGCCCAAAGTAAGCTCCGTACTCTACTAGGAACCAATAAGCTACAGGATGCAGGCATGAGACGGCATTGAAACGGATCCCGACGCCCTACATTCCGACCACCGAACTCTCAACCTTGAACCCCAAACACCTAAACACCTGAAAACCCTAAACCCTAAACCCTAAACCCTAAACCCTAAACCCTAAACCCTAAACAAACCCCCCAGGCATGAAAGCTTCATTCCCCAAAGGCCCCCCTGGGCCCCGCCTGAACTGCGTGGCTTTGTCCGGAACATCGAAACGATCCTTCAGAGAATTCGCCCTAAACCCTGAACCCTAAACCCTAAACCCTGTCTTAGGGCAGGGTTTAGAACGGGTGGAGTTTTTTTTTTTCTTCCCTTTTTTTTGTTGCTTCCCTTTTTTTTGGTTTTCTTGGCTTTTGCTAGGAAAGCCACCATTCCCTCCGTATTTTCAAAGGATTCTTACTACTCTTACTCGGATTAGGAGCTGGTTATTTTTTGGGGGTATTTTTTTGGTTTTTTTGTTGGGTGTTTTTGTGGTTTTCATGTGTCATCTAGAAAGGTCCTCTATTTACTATATGCGAAAAGGTATATATGTATATATGTATATATGTATATATGTATATATGTATATATGTATATATGTATATATGCATATATGTATATATTTATATTTGTATGTATATATGTATACTTATATATATATATATTATTTAATTTTTTAGCTATCTATATTTACATATATTTATGTCTTTATATATATTCATATATATTTATATACATTGAGATATACATATATATATATACATATATATATATATATACATTTAGATATATATATATATATATATCTTATATTGGTACGTATTTATGTATATTTATATATATGTATTTATATATATGGATGTATAAATATACATATATATATATATATGCCAACAGAGCCTCCTATGATCCACAGAGCCTTTGTTCAAATTATCGTTGCCTGGCAAGGTGTAAGGCTAACTCACTGCGTCAAGAAAGAAACATGTTTCCAAGGCAACACCATCGATGAGGTTGTCCTCAACAAATCAACCGCATTATGCACATCAAGCTAGCATATTAGGGAGATATGTTTCATCGAAGGCTTCTTGACTGGCTTCTTGGTCTTTGCAGCAGGCCTACGAAGAACAGTACCTGGCCGCACCACGCTCTTACCCTTGCCATATATAATGGATGGGTGTGACGCAGTACGAACTGCAGGTGTACGTGGAAACCAAGATTTCCCTGCTAATCTTTCAGACAGCATCAAGTCGAAATGTCTGTATTGGGTACCAGCGCACGTAGCTGCAAAAGCTTGACGCAAGCCGTTCTTGCGGAAGAAAATGGCTTGGGACCCTTCGAGCGCTTGCTCGATGCCGTAATACCACTCAACTTTGGTTCCCTTTGACCAGATATTTCTGTATCCGGGCCAGCCGATGTTGCTCCATTTTGGTAGTGATGACATCAGGCCCTGAACTTGAGCAGCAGTTTGCTGAAACCGTGCGTCTGCTTCTAAAAACCAAACCCATCCGACTTCAGAATGTCGTTGGTCAGACCGATAGCGTTGTAGTAATTGATAGCATCTCAGGGTCAAAATGCTTATCCAAATTCGTTTGTAGGACATAAACGAACGAAAGTACTATAAAACAAAAAAAGTATACAAAAAAACAAACTTACTTGAAACTGCTTGCGCAGCCTCGTAAACCATCGGTGCCGCACAGAGTAATGCACGATCTCATTGGGCTGCAGCTTCTTGCCCATGTGCTCGTCAGTGCCATATCGATATCCATAAATAACATGGACTTTGTTAGCGCCCATACCTTTTAATTCTTGGAGAAGTGGGTTATGCACGCCATGGTTGTCGGCATGCGACAATATGAGGAAGAGTGCGTTGCTAAGCTTGGCCGGTGTCTCAGGCAACACGAGCTTGGCTTCATCGACGTGCTTCGCTTTGCAACGTTCCAGCGTCTTTCGTTTAGACTCATCAGTACTGCACCACCAGGACAAATTGCAGGAACATTTGTGCCATGCCATCTCAGATAGCCTCTACACCTAAAATTGTTGTAAGCACAAGACATCTTTTCATAATATGTTTTGCAATTAACACGTAACGTGACCTATGAATGAATCTCGCTCAACAAACTTCATTTGTTTATACAGTGACGGTATACATGAATGTTGTCCTTTACTTCTGTGCATGTAGTACGAACACATGGATTTCATCATTATGCGCCAGGTAGCAGCATAAACGTGTTTTCAAATTTGTTTATAAGCTTCACGATCATGAACTACGACAACTGTCCGCATGTGTTGTAGAGTATACAGGTACAGTTGGGAGCATGTTTTTGCCGTTTAGGGTTTTTTTGAGCGACCCTAAGCCCTATTTTCAAGTTGAAGCACTCATTTCCGAAACTTGCGGTGTTGAGTGAATTAAGCATGATTGTGTTGGGCGCACGTGTTTTGTATATTGCACAGGTACAATTGGGAGCATGTTTTTGCCGTTTGGTGTCTTTTGAGCGACCCTAAACCCTAAATTTCAAGTTGAAGCACTCATTTCCGAAACTTGCGGTACTGAGCGAATTAAATATGATTGTATTTGGCGCGCATGGTTTGTTTAGTGTACAGGCACACTTGGAAGCATGTTTTTGAACGCTTGAGGTCTTTTGAGCGACCCTAAACCCTAGATTTCAAGTTGAAGCACTCATTTCCGAAACTTGCGGTGTTGAATGAAGTAAACATGATTGTGTTTGGCGCGCACGTTTTGTATAAGTACAGGCACACTTGGAAGCATGTTTTTGCCGTTTGAGGTCTTTTGAGCGACCCTAAAATTTCAAGTTGAAGCACTCATTTCCGAAACTTGCGGTGTTGAATGAAGTAAACATGATTGTATTTGGCGCGCATGTTTTGTATAAGTACAGGCACACTTGGAAGCATGTTTTTGCCGCTTGAGGTCTTTTGAGCGACCCTAAATCCTAAATTTCAAGTTGAAGCACTCATTTCCGAAACTTGCGGTGTTGAATAAAGTAAACATGATTGTATTTGCCGCGCATATTTTGTGTAGTGTACAGGTACAATTGAGAATATATTTTTGCCGTTTGGGGTCTTTTGAGCGACCCTAAACCCTAAATTTGAAGTTGAACACTGATTTCCGAACCTTGCGGCGCTGCATGAACTGAACGATTGTTGTTTGGCCCGCATGATTTGTACAGCGTACAGGTACAATTGGGAGCATGGTTTTGCTGCTTGGGTCTTTTAAGCAACCCTAAGCCCTAACTTTCAAGTTGAAAGACTGATTTCCGAAATTTGCGGGTGCTGAATGAGCTTGAATGCAGTGTTCGAGATTTCCAGATATATCAAGAAATTATAAATCTCATCTGACATATCGTAAAAATTACTACCGTCACAAACATTACCGGAACAAATCGTACAAATCAAGGCGGCTAGCTTGGGTTACAACTTTGCTGAAACCTTGATTACTAGTTATTGCGGTCACTGTCAACTTGAGCCAGCAGACACAGACACACAATGCCGGAACAAATCGTACAAGTCACTGTCGTCCACAAAAATTGCCGGAACAAAATGCCGGAACAAATCGTACAAGTCACTGCCGTCCACAAATATTGCCGGAATAAATCGTACAAATCAATATGGCTAGCTTGAGTTACAACATTGTTGAAATCTTGATTACTGGATACTGCGGCCCTTCTCAACTTTAGCCAGCCGACCCCGACGCACAATGCCGGAACAAATCGTACAAGTCGCTGCCGTCCACAAACATTGCCGGAACAAATCGTACAAATCCCTGCTGCCTTCACTAGCAATATCACCTGAACAACTTGTACAATCTCTGCTGCCCACGCACGCTCTACAAGCCACTTCCAAGGAAGCAGTTTGCAGCCCCCTAAGCCCTTCTATAAGGTTGCAGGTTCCCGTTCAACCTTCCCTGCAAATCTTTTTGGCAACAGCTGGGAGGGCCTCCAAGGAAGCAGTTTGCAGCTTCTGCAGCTCCCTAAACCCTTCTTTATGTCGGCAGGTTCCCTTACACTCGGTTATGCTTCTCCTGCAAGGAATTTCCAGGAAGAAGTTTGCAGCTCCTAAAACCATTCCGCACGTCTGCAGGGTCCCCCGAAACCTTCCCTGCAGATATGCCTGCAGGCTCCAAAAGCGGCTCTGTTTCCCCAAATTTGTACCCCTCAACCCTCAACCCTCAACCCTCACAACCCTCACAACCCTCAACCCTCAACCCTCAACCACAAACCCTACCCTTAGAGATGTAGTCTTGGGCTTCTGCTTAGTGCCACGATAAGGAAGCAGCTGCAGCGAGCGGCAAAGCGAGCGGCAGCGGCTCCGACGCATTCATAGGCTCAGCCGCTCGAAATTTCGACTGCAGTATGCCCTGAACTCTAAGCCCTACACCCTAGACCCTAAACCCTAAACCCTAAGCCCTAAGCCTTAAACCCTAAACCCTAAACCCTAACCCCAAACCCCAAACCCTAAACCCTAAACCCTAAACCCTAAACCCTAAACCCTACACGTTACACGTTTAGATCCTAAGCCTCTGCAGGTGGTGGTTGGGAAAGTAAGAGAAAACGCAGTGGAGAGTCCAGCACAGCCAATTGCCCCTTCAATGCTGGCTCCATGTTACTGGTACCAAAATCCGAAACTGGGGGGAGCCCAAGCATCGAAAATCTAGGGTTAGGGTTTAGGGTGTAGGGTTTAGGGCATAGGGTTTAGGGTTAGGGTCGGGGTTTGGTTGGGGCCCCTCTTCCTGTTTGTGGTTCCTCACAAGCCTCCTTGAGCAAAAAGGCGGTACCCGCTTTGTATTCCAGAGCCGCAGTGCATGAAGTCCTCATGGTCCAGACCGTCGACCTCTCATTCAAACCTCCCTTATCCCTACATATACAAAGGAACAAATTGTATAAATCCCTGCTGCCAGCATTTGACAGGTGTGCTTCCGTCATTGCCCCAGAGTTCGCGCATTCTCTCCGCTGTAGGAACGGAGGTTACGGCACATGTAGGCTGACAGAACTTGTACGTTGCAGCAACGATACATGCACTCTTGTGAAACCGCCGGGACAAGCAAGATCTTTCTTTTGGCACGTTTCGCCTGAGCTTTCTCCCCAACTCCCCAAACACGTATTGAAAGAGTATGGTCAGCGCGACCAGGGCATAGCCTATCTTTCTGCATAATGATAGGCCGGCGCCTCACCCACAGACCCAGTACACATCCCTACTCAGACTCAGACTGACCATAGTACAGCTGTT